ATAAATAAGGTCCGGTCAGTCGACTTAATATTAGGTGGGTTTAAGAGGAATTGTTCACATCATTACATCTGCAAAGAGACGTCCTAGTCCACAACTGCGTAGGGGGCCAACCAGGTGTCAGTGACGGGGCCCCAAAAAGGTTGGGGGCCCCTAAGCAACTGCAGTTTTTGCCATTGGATCAGATGCCTTGATAGGATAAATCTGTTTTTTTTTTTGTTTTTTTTTTGTTCCTGTAAGCACACTGGCCTGCTGCATTAGATGTTCCCCAGCTTTCACACACCTGTTTTAATTGATTGCAGATTAACAGATTTAACTGAACTGTAAGCAGACGCATCTAAAAATGCAGTGTTGGAAAAAATAAATCACTGGATTACATAATCCCATAAATAATTTTTTTGTAGTATGCAGTATAGTTGGGTGAAACAGTTTCTTAACCTTCCACTCAGACATTTGTGAGATATATAAATTCAATAATACCAGAGCGACCTTTCCTCTTACCGATAATGAGCGGGGAAGTGTCGTTGCTCGGTTCTTTAGGTTTGGTGCTGGGAGGGAAAACGACGTTGACGATCCAGAAGCCGGTGGAGTGATGAATCCCCAGCAGAAACACTGCGAGCAGCGCCCAGTGACCCGCAAACCCCATGTTCTCTGTAGGGCTAAAGCCGCGCGGCGCTTTGAGAGCAGCTGCGGAGCACGAGGAGGAGGAGGTGGAGGAGGTGGGCGCAAACAAATGCGCAGAGAGGTCACTCACACCAAGACAAAGCACAACTGATCTTGACCATATGTGATGTTAAACTTTACCCACGCCTTATTCACACGGAAGAGTTCACCAACTGAAACAGAGGGATAAATGCAGGCAAATAAAAACTGTCCTGGTTACATGGCTGCTGTGCTATTGATTTCATTGAATCACGCGTGTTTTATTTGCACAGTGAGTGACTAATGTTTAACAAGAAGTACAAACAAACATGCATAAATAAATGTCTTTTTTGGGGAGTGCTCTACAGGATTTTTAAGCTCCCTTCGTGAAGGGAAACTTGTTGCAGGCCTCCAGCTGTTCTGCTGATGCCTTCAGAGTAAAATCCAGGCTCAAGATCATAGTGCTGGTTCCAGACCTAATTTACCTGGGGGGGTCACACAGCGGATTAAGAGATTAGAGATTATTAAAATGTAGGGTTGCTTGATTAATTGGTACTTATTTCCTTAGTTTTGGTAGACTGATGCAGGGGCGGAGCTAGATGGGGGGCCAGGGGTGGCCATGGCCCCTTTTAGCCAAACAATAATCAACTAGATGAGATCAGTGGGCGGGGAGGGTTAAACTTTTAACAATGAGCTCCCAATAATCGATAAAAAGTTCAGTTTTAGAGTAAAAAGCGAACAGTAAAACTTCTGGAATTTGCTTTTAGAATTTCAAGAATTAGTTAAGGAAAAGCAAAGTATAAGGAGCATCCAGACTTTGATGTTCTTCGGAATAGTCTATTAACCTGTTTTGTCTTTACCAGGGGTGGAGCTAGATGGGGGGCCAGGGATGGCCATAGCCAATCATTGGCCACCCCTACCATTTTCCCCCTCTAATACAGACAGTGGCAGTAGTAATACTCTGAAGGGGAATGTTCAAACTTATTAAACATTTACATTTTTCATATATTAACAGCAACTTGACAACAGAAACACTGCGGTTAATTATGCACATCAATATACAAACATTAAAGATGATAGATACAGAATTTATGCTCTTTTCAGAACTAAACTTTGAATTATTTGGGGGTAACATGGAGATAAAATTGTGTACCTCTGCAAGTCATCTAGGAGTCTTCAGCCAAATCATAGGCAAATAACTACTTAAATAATAACATCAAAATTCATTAAATTAGTAGATTTAAAAATATTTTTTTTGCGGAATGATTGTTGATAAAAGTAGGTAATGGCAATTGAAATATGTTCGCCCCAGAACTCAAACCTGAAAGAATTTTGTCCACTAAACCTTTTATTTACACAGCATAGATGTTTAAATATATGCATCTTTTTGTTAGCAAAGGCTGCAGGAAAATAAAGTTTGTCTTTATTTAGAAAATATGGATGTTGAGCTTGTTCCTGTTGAAAGAGTGTAGATTGAACCTGAGGTTCTGGTGCCTTTCGGCCACCCCTCAATGTTCATTGGTTATTGACTGGCCACCCCTATTAGGATTTTCTAGCTACGCCTCTGGACTGATGATAAGCCGATACTTCAAAATAATCTTAACCACCAACCCCCCAAAGGTCTAATAATCAGTCATTATCAGTGCTGTAAACTTTGAAATTATACTATTTTCACTTTGACTGCTCATTTTCCTTTTATTCAATAAAATAAGATTAAAACATCAAAGTTGTATTGTAATCGTATAACACATATAACAAACTGGAATGAGCATTTTAGGCCTTTTACAGATTGGTAATCAGCCAGAAAACTGCAATCAGTGCTGAGGAGATCCTTGAATATAACTAAAGCTAAACACCCAACACCTTCATTTTTAAATAATTGTTGAAATAAAAGTGTGAGGGTAAAAATATGGAACAGGTTCAAGGGTCTTTTCAGTGATGTTTTCTGTCCCACTACATATATTCATAAAAATATAAATTTAGTTTTACGTCTATAATACAGGAGCCATTACACGGGTCAAAAGCTGTTCTAAAGGAGCACTGGCCCCTGCTGGCCCCCATCTAGAACCACCCACGGTCGTGTTGTTTCTAGTCTAATATTGTATGCACTCAATTCCAGGAAACCATTTAATTTCAAACACACTGTCTAATTTTGTTGTCTGATAATTGTTCAAACTTCCTGGACTTATTTGGTCTTCCGCTAACCCTGTCAACATTCATTATTTGCAGTTGTTTATCTCGCCATTCCTTTTTTAAATTTTTTTTAGCTCATTTCACTTTAAGTTCTGTTTACATAAGTATTGGCTATCATATTCTAATATGATCAAATACCTCAACTACTACTACAACTACTTTGATGCTTTTTGTTGTGCATTTATTTTATAAACCAAGTAAAATTTTTAATTAGGCTTTAATATTCACCTGTCAGACATAAAATTATGTCAACCTAATTTAAAACATTTTGATCAGACTTTCATTTTGCCATAAGTGTCCTAAACTATCAATCTGTCGAATCAAAATAAATCCATACCACTTTTATGTTTATCTAACAATGTGATGGAAAGTTTCTTGCAAGTTCGAAGGCTGGGTCTCTGTAGATTATTGTTATTAAGATGTTCAATATGCTCGCATAAGGACGAAAATGTGCATTATTGAAAGGCCAAGCCAAAGACTTGCTGTTACTCAAGCAACATCTGAAAATTAGCTTCTTTGCAGGACAAGTAAACATGCTGAAGGTCACCTCCACAAAAAGGTTCATATTGTATGCAAATATGTGAAATAGATTAGCCTAAAGTAGGCAGTATGTGTCGAATTAACTTCCATGTGGGGGTTATTTAACGGTAACAGGAGTTTCTGTACATAGAGATGTGTTGCACAAATGTCTTTTATAACAAACTGAAGCCAGAAAATCCTAGAATTTCCAACTAGTTTGGTGATATAACTTGTTTTTTTCAGGCTAATTTACACCTGAAAGTTTGAGCCTATCCTCAGTGGGATCAGGTTATCCTTCACCTCAAATCAAAATGCAATATTTGAATATGGAGATATGTTTTAATTAAAATCTGTGAACAGCAAATAGCTTTTAAAGCAGTAAATAGTCCATAAACAGCCTAAAGATAATGTACCTTCTTGGTGTTTCTCGAAAAACTGACTTGGATCAATTGGAGGTAGTTTTTAAGATCTTGTGTCGATTTGTTTGCACAGTCCTTGATATCAGTTCAGCCTTCAGCTGAGAGCGGGGGTAGCCTCATCCCACCACTGTCTATCTCCTTTCTCATCAGCTGATTGCTCAATCTTAGCCCAGGCTGAACACACATAGGAAACTATGGCGTTCCTTGTGGGGTTACTATAGAGCAATGACTCATAGCACACTTTTTGTTTGAAATGGAACAGAGGGTCAGACCTTCTTCCCAGAATATACCTCACACCTCAATAAACCAGGAATGTGAGAAAACTTCCAATACGTCCACATTCAGGTGACGCGATTCAATAAAAAACCAGCTGCTTCTATGACCCTGTTAGCTTACTGTCTTATATGTATCACAATGGGGACGGCATAGAAAATGTCTGTTCAGTCAATTTTCTTTGAGTTTTTAAAGAAAATGCATTAAAAATATACAGGAAAATTAAACAATAAAACTGACAAAAAGTGTTTGAAAATCCGTATTCAAAATCTATTTATTTCCAAATCTGCAAGTCATCTGAGTAATGTGAAAAAAAAGCATTCATCTATTTTAAAAAACAAAAATTTTACAGATGCCCAGGTGGTTTTAAAGGATTATTAATGCTGTAATTTAATTTGCTTCTGTGTTGTTGTCTTTATTGATATATATTGTTTGCTGCAAAACACATATTTTTCTGTTAGTATCCAAAAAAAGTAATGAAACTAAATGGATTGTATAAAACCTGAGCTCACTTCAACTATTTCACAACTGTGTCTATTAAGTAATCTCCTTTGTGCATATTTACAGTCCTGATCAAAAGCTTTCGGGGTCTGCAGCTTCAGTTTGTCTGTTAATAATAGCTTATTTTATATTAATTTACTCTAAAACTATAAATATTGCCAAGGTAGAGATTGTGCATCTTTTTGATAGGATAATCAGCTTTATGACATGAAGTGGAGTACGAAAAAAAGAATAAGAAAAACTGAGGGGATTGAAATTCTACTAAAAATAAAACAATGGTGATAAGTGCAGAATTTTTCCATGAAGAATAATGTCAAACAAAGTCCACAAAAAAGCATTTATGATATGAATTTAAACTTTAATATATAGTTTCACCCTAAATACATTTTTTTTCTCACATTCAGATTTTGAAAATGTCATGATTGTTTTAAAAATAAATAATGAAAACTCTGATGGACACATTCGTTTCTCCAAAGTCAAGATCACGCTGACTAGAGTCATTAGGATTGGGTTGAAGTTTCTAAAGTCACGAGCGGATCAACAGGTCACCAAGGCAGCTGCTCTCCTGTAAAGTTCAAAAATGATCCGTGGTCCTTTTCAGTCAGCCCACCAATCACAGACAAGACGGATGCAACACTTTCCTCAGGACTCAGAGGAGCCTGGAACAGAAAAACATAAAGCAAAAAGATGGACACTTAATATTCCTTAAAATTAGGCGAACCACCTTGTACAAACCAAAACAAACCGTCACAGTTTTTAGGATAATTAATTCTACGAACCCATAATTCATGTAATTCCTAATTAAGTCTAAAAGTAAACTCTAATAAACGTCCATCTTTTTAAACAAAGACACAGGCGCTACCTGCAGTAGACGTTTACCTCAGAGCCTCCCATGTCAGTGCGGACCCATCCAGGATGTATGGCCATGCAGAGGATCCCATCAGACTCTAGGTCCACAGCCATGCAGCGACTCACCATATTGAGAGCACTCTGAGGAGACCAACCACAAATTAAACTGTTAAATGGCTAAATATATTTTAGAACCAGAACGCCTAAAATACTTGATCGTGTGAAACAAAAATTCCCCATCAGGTCTTTTAATTATCCTTAACGGCAAATGAGTAATTGGAAAATATTTCAGACAAAAGAGTGTTTTGAAATTAAAACTATGACGTTAGCATACATTTGATCAGGCAGGCATATCTGTTGTTTTGCAGATTTTTACCTGTGTTCTCTCTTAGTTGCTGCTGATGTGCAGAGATCACAATAAATTAAAACTCCCTGCTGATTCTTTCATGTTAAAACCTTTCTTCTGCAAGTATTTCTTTTTTTTATGTCTGAGCTAAATGAAAGTTTTTTTGTGTGCTGTTGTTAATCAAAATCAGAATCAACTTCCCTTTTCACAATTTTCACCATAATAGAAAGTTACAATGTAAAACATTTTAACAAATCATTTTAAATAAATTGTATGTAGCATTCGGTTATAGTGACTATTAGCACATAGTTTTTAATGAGAATATTGGCTGCTAATGATCAGATCCACCTGATTACAGCAGAGTAGCTTGTTCTTGTGGCTGCTGATAAACAGCTTGTTTGCAGTTTAGTTAATTTTTATAAATGTTGCAAACCAGAACACCTTTTCATTTATTGACCAATAATGACTTTTATATCAGGACCCGCAGCCCAGAAAGCACAGTCATAATCTGGGGACAGAACTAAAACACTTTAGATATAATAAATAAAAAAAGCAAATACAGAAAACTCACTAGAGCACAAGAACTATACTGAGCCGTGACTGAAACATCTGTGCATTATATCAAAACATCTCCTAGAATGCATTTTTCCATAACAATTGATACCTTGGAGGTTCTGTAAGGGTACCATTTGAAGCTGTTGGCCCTCTCGCCCCAGTTGAGCTCCACAGACCCCAGCAGAGATGTCATGTTAATAACTGCTGCCTTCTGGATTCTCATTATTCCTGACCCCCCTCTGCTTGCAGCCTTCTTTAACAGAGGCAGGAATGCCTGACAAAGGAAAGAAAAACAAAAAACTTAACAAGAATTCTTTCAGAATTTAGTTAACAAGGACATATTGCATAACATACTGCGAATAAATATAACAAGCAAAGATAAAGACTTTATAACCCACACTTTTTTTGTCATTAGAGTTTGATAGTATTATCCATATTCATGTCTATGGCTTTACCAGCTTATGTAATAAATGTAGACGCTATGTCAGCGCTTCCCTCTAGTGATGAAATGTTGACACTACAGAGAAATAGCATCTATAATTTTGCAACATTTAAAAACATTCTAAAGAAACAGTGACTTTCAGCCACTGTGGAGCGCTAGACGTGTAATTTCCAGATTTAAGGCCCTTTAAAACACCTGAAAACACTAAAGTACAACAAATGAACTGCCTCCCTCAGTGACTAGGATCTGCTGAGTACACTTGCATGGACCCAACCATTTCTATAAGCTGTTTATGAAAACATTGTGTTTTTGCCTTTTAGTGGACTAGTCCTCAGTCTCCTTGGTGAGTAAAGTCTTCTCTGACCTTTCCAGGAAAAAGGTTGGGTCTTGTGACTCAGTCCTTATGGTTTCCTCCAACTTTTAGATTTGATTCTGCTTCCAGATTTAAATAAAATGGCTGAATTATCTCCTCAGTATACAGTCAATTCTGCTAATTATCTGTTTGTTTTTTTTGACTCAGATGATGTTGAAGCATAGGCACATCTAAAAGATGTAGGACACCGGACCTCCACGGCTGGAAATTAAGAGCCACGACAAGAGAAATCTGAAAAAGAGTTGGTCTAAAAAAAAAAAAAAAAAAACATGCTGTGCTTTTCACATCTTATTAGTAACCCTCATTCTTTCAATTAACAATGATTCGCTACTTCCTGTTTGTCTTTCAAAACAGACCAAAAAATAAACAGCTGTTTATGGTTGGTGTGGCATGCAAAAAATCCCATTTCCCATCATAGTATTGCAGCTTGTGTGAAACACAAAATGTAGCACTTTCAAAGATTTTATCCATCTGTTTATTCTAATTAATCCCCCATTTTGTAAATAAAACACTATTCAAGAGTTTCACCAAAAAAAAAAAAAAAAAAAAAAAAATTTTTTTTTTTTTTTTTTTTCACAAAAAAAAAAAAAAAAAAAAAAAAAAAAAGTTACCGTTATAAAGACGAAATGCAAGCTTGCAAAAATCAAATATTGTAGTTCTCTTTAAGTTGTTTTCTACAAGATGGAAGGACAGAGTTTTAAAGGCCTCAGTGAATGAATAGTGGCAGATTTCTGCTCAACATGAGTCACCATTCCAATCATTACCGAGGGACTCTGAAACACTGCGGCCTTGCGCTTTAAACAAAAACGTCCTTCAAACTTTGTGTCAGCAAGAATCTTTCCTGCTGGCAGGCCTCTGATTAGTGCTCATATTTTAAACTGCACAGAGGGCTGCTCCATCGCCCCCTGTCCTCTAAGGCTTAGCAGCACCAAAGGTTCTAATTATTTATGACATGCGGACGGCTCTGGTACTTTGTAAAATCTCTTTACCAAGGTCGTTCTTTTGTTTTGGTGTCCTGCACAATCAGAACCATCCCACACAGTGTTCCAGGAGGAACTGAGAAAGTAGATCCTTGCTGTTTTTTTGGCCACCAGGATTCTTTATACAACATACCTTTGTTATCATCAGAGGAGCCACAGAGTTGGTGTGGAAGTTCTCTATCATCTTCTCTGCTGTGACAGAATGGAAGTCGGCCTCCACATTGATCCCCGCGTTGTTTATCAGACAGTTCAGACCTTCCTCCTCTACCAGCTGGCCCACCTCCTCAGCACATTTCTCAATGCTCTCCTGATCTACCACGTCTACACAAGAGACACACAAGCACTACAAATGGCACAAAAGCAAACAAGCTAATCAAACCGGATCACAGGGGGACTTCAGAATACCCTGTATGGTTGGATTCAGATTTGAAGAATGGAAGAATAGATGAACTGATGGATGACAGATATATGTGTGTTGACAGATAACGGAATGGATAAAGCAATACACATATATGGAGTGATGAATGGACAGATTAACGGAAAAATGGATGCAAGAAAGTGGGAAGTATGTAAGGATAAACCGATTTCTGGACAGATGGGTTTCTGGATATATTGATGGAAGTGCAGCAAAAAAGATGAACTGATGGATAATTAGATTGAGAGATAAAATTTCCTTTTTAAGCGTATTAACGTTGTCTTTTGTGTTTGTTTTGCCAATTAAATAAAATTTAAGCAATGTCCATTTATTGAAAGTTATTTAACCCTTTACTGTCTTTTTTCTTTTGAGTTTTTTCTTTTGTCCTCTAACTCTTACCTAACGTTACTATGTGGACGTTGGAGTATTTCTTAGCCAGTTCCTGGAGTTTCTGTAAATCAAAATAAACAAAAAGTTATTTCAGGGGCTTTTAAAGGTTATTAGGCGAGAGCGAAACAGCGACATCTGGTGGTGGCTATTAGTAAATACAATTTAGTGTCTTTTTTTTTGGTTATCCTAATAAATAGACCATGTTTCTGAATAAAGGTGTCACTTTATAAAGGGGGTGAATTAAATTAAATTGTTACATTTCATTAAATAATATGGTCAAATTTCGCAGACTAATTTACCTGCGAAAGGCTGATGTTTCTGGTGGTGGCTATAATCTTGCCCGGTGAGAAACCTTCACTCGCCAGACTTTCCACCATCTGCAGCCCGAGTCCGCGGTTTGCTCCCGTTATCAGCACAGAACCACAGTTTTTGAAATTCATCACTCCACTCATCGTTATTATTTTACCGTAGTAGCCAGAGTCTGGTTTGCAGTCGAACGCGTTCTCTCTAAATACTTCTAATCATGGTTTTATAATAAGCCAATCTGATCCATGTAATGCCACCTTTCATCCGCTGGAGGGCAGAAGTGTTCCACTGGTATGAGTTAAAGCAGAGACTTTATGCTGCGGAGATGGTCCAATAGATAAAGGTTCAGAAAACAAAGGCTGACATCCGCCATAACCCCTATATAGCGCAATAAATATGGAGGACCAACTCTGCCATATTTAAAAATAAATACCTAAATAAATAAATGCTCAATAAATAAATAAGTATACAATTAATTGTCATAAAAAATACAATAAAGAAATAAATGTAGGTAGAAATTAAACTACACAGTGAGACATTAATGTATATATCTCTTTTAATTAGCTTCTTTATTTATTCGCCTTAGTTGTAATTACCTTATAATTACCTTATTTATTGATTGTCCGTTATATTCTTCAACTTTACTTATTTATGTGATTGTGATAATATTTTTGTCTGTTTTATTCTTTCTTTGTATTTTTTTATCCTATTTCTTCTACGCTATTTATTCCTGCCTGTCGTTTTTACATTTCTGTATGCATTTCTGCCTCATTGTGCAAATGAGGAAGGGGTGTGTCTTAGAGGGTTAACTTCTGCCCATTGGTTGGTTAGCATTTACTGCATCGGTCGAATCTACAGGAGCAGAGGAGAGTCTGAAGTCGAGTCTGAAGTTACTGGCCATTTCTCGATTCATAAGAACACAAGTACGGACTCGTGTCCTTGCCAAGTATGTTCTTGAGAAGAACCCAGGAAAGTCTGGACTCAGGGAGAACGGGAGCACGCAGCATAAATATGGGTCAGTTGGAAAAGAAGCGTACTGATGACGTCACCACATGCTCGGCTCGTTTGAAGTTGCTTTTCTCCTCCTGTTATTAATAGTCTCTAGATAATAAGAAATTCTGAACTTTTTCATTTAGTGTGGGAATAATAATCAACACAGTCAGATAAACACAAATCGAATGAACATTTTGCCAAATAAAACAAAAAAAATCACTATCATAGCCAGCGTTACTTGACACACGGCTATGCAGAGAGAGGGCCACTGCCGACAGGCTAGGATTAGACCTGGCTGCTGTTAGCCTCGGAGCTCCGCTGGTTGCCGCGGTCCTCTCAACTTCGGAACATTTCTTTTAAAATTACGCATAAAATTGGTAAATGATAGTGACTCTTAAAAGTATAATATCCTCGCCTCAAATGATCTTAAAACTTACTTTTATTGAACAACAACAATAGAAAACAGAACTTTTAACTTAATATTCTGAGCTCTGTGAGTTAAGAAGATGAGCCGCGGACCAATGGGCAGAAGTTGACCCTCTAAGACACACCCCTTCCACATTTGCATAATGAGGCAGAAATGCATACAGAAATGTAAAAACGACAGGCAGAAATAAATAGCATCGAAGAAATATATAGGGTAAAAGATACAAAGGAAGAATAAAACAGACATATTGTGCACAAAAATTAATACTAAACTAAGAATAAGTACCGTAATACATAAATTAAGTTGAAGATTATAAGGGGCAATAAATATAAAAGGTAATTATTGCAAAGACGAATAAAGAAGCTACTTAAAAGAGATTCACACATTTATGTCTCACTGTATAATTTCATTTCTACCTACATTTATAAGTTTATTGTATTTTTGGGGACAATTAATTGTATGCTTATTTAACTATTGAGCATTTATTTATTTCTGTACTTAATTTTAAATATGGCAGAGTTGGTCCTCTATACACTATATAGGGTTTACGCCATTTCATACAAGGATGTCTAATGGATAAAAAAGTTCCATCAAGTTCCCACAATGCACGTTGAAAAGTAGTGTGCAACCATGTTCACTAGACGGGCGCAATCGGCACAATAGCTCTCCACGCAAAGCATCATGCGATTCGTTTTTGGGTGAGCAAAGATGGTGCAGGCACCTTGCGGGGAGCCGGAGTCACATGATCAACGGGGAGCGAAAAATAGTGGTCATTTGTCAGAACCGCCAGTTTAAAGAGTTCACTATAATGACCACTATATAGTCAGTACATAGTCCCTTGACATAGCTATTGAGGGTTAGGGCGGATGTTTGGACACAGCCAAAATGGTGAGAATACGAACCAGGCAGTTTAATTTATTATGTAAAATATTCAAGGTAAGTACTTAGGACATAAAAGAATACATAGTTGTTTTCCCAGCAAAACTTTGAGGTTATTTATGTCTGACTTCTTAATCCTTCTTCTTTAATTTTGAATCATATCTTAGAGGCACCAAAAAAATAGAGTAAGCACCTCTTTGGTACAGGATTTGTGACGTCACATCATAAATTGAATAATGTAACCAATGAAACATCTCTGTGTTTACCGAATTCAGTCCATATCAGGTTTGTAATGGATTTGCTTTAATGGCTTAGACAAATAAAAATACAAGAAACAGCTGTGAAAATTAGATGGAATAAAAATTGGCCTGCATCCCTTGTCAAAAAAAAAAAAAAAAAATTGATCTTGAATTAAACTTTAACTGAACAAAACATTTTTTAAACCAAGTAAGATGTATAAAAAAAATTAAATATGTAGAATTTTGTTGGTACTTTATAAAACAAATCAGAATAAGAAAATCAATGATTAGATATGTCAAGATTAATAGAAGTAAAAGTAGAAAAAACTAAAGAACAGAGGTGATGTGAAAGGTCTCTAAAATTGATGAATTTCCAACTGCTCAGTGACCATCAGGTCCACAGAACGTAGATGAAAAGTATTATTCCATCTCTCTACCCCATTTCTTGTCCATCCACTTTAAAACTTAAAGTCATGAGTGCCAAAGAAATAGTTAAGTAAAATAGGGCCGTAATAAAATAAAATAAAAACGCAAATTTTATACACACACACAAAAAAAAAACACAATATGAATGAAAAAGGGCCCAGAACAAAAAAAAAAATAAGAGTGACCAAAGAAAATGTAAAGGTTGATTTCTCTGATACAAATATTTCTGAATAGAAAATAAATAACACTTCCAGATCTACCTGTCCAGCATTTTAGTTTGCTGAGTAACATTAAAGATCCAGTGTGTCAAAGGCATTTAATCCAGGGTGACTAAGACTGCAGATTTCCCTGGATCTCTGCACAGCAGCAAGTCTTTAAACACTCTGAGGAGAGCTGACTCAGCAGAATGGCTTCTATGACACTAAAGTTGAAATCTGTTCAATAAAAATGGGCTAGATTTTTCCTTTTACCATAAACAGACATTAAGTCAGAGTAATACATATTTATGCTGTAATAAATTCCCACCATGACTCAGGAGTCACAGACTTTTAATATGTTTACTTTCATCCTTCTAATCCACGTGACTTTAAGACGAGCTAGTTCAGTCTTGGTGATTACCAAGAGAATACCTAAAGCAAAGAGAATTTACTGTTTGCTCTTTGTCATCTTTCAAATATTGAAGCAAAGATGGAGAAGCAGAGTGAAGGGTGACAGCACAGCTGATGGAGCTTATACAGTCCCAGCACACAGATGGTTTCACTGGCAGCCCTCTAAATCCAGATTTCCTTAAAGCTCCTAGTGCCTGGAAGCAGCTGATATCACAGGTCTGCTGCTGGTCACTTCATTTAGGATTTGGCTCCTGCACTGTTATTTGCAGATGTATTCATTTGGCAGTGGCTGCACAATGCAGATGATGAGCTGGTTCAATATGTGTTTGTGCTCATGTATCTGGAGAGTGTTTAACATCTTGGCTGAGAATTGTCAATAAACTTCAGGAGTTAGGCGGTCTGTGTTGTCACCACTTTGTTTGCTTTGCCTTGTAAAATATTTGTAGCTTTAAGAGAGAGAAAGTTGATGGAAAATTATGGCTTTTAACCATCATTTATAAAAATCGTTCTTATTTAAATGCATAAAATGTTACAGACTGAGGGAACAATGTTAGACTATGTGAGGTCTTCTTAAAACTCTTTAAGCATGTAATATTGTACGGTAGATGTTCATAATGTATACTTCCTTCCACATTTTTTGGCACCCATTTGAAAAAATATGTGAAAAATCCAAAAATTAGAAGCCTGAATTCATCAGTGATTGGGATAATGAGAATTAGGACTGAAAACATTAATCAGATTAATCGTGATTAATCGATTATGAAATAATCGTCAACTAATTTAGTAATCGATTAATTATTAGCTGGAGTACAGAGACTCTATAATATGCATTTAGCTGACAGAGTGACCCACTTAGAACAGTAATTATACCAAGATTTGTAAAACAATATAAGAAATACTTGCATTTAAAATTAAAAAGAACAGGCTGAAATTAATAAAAAAATCATCTTTATGGAACCTTTGAATATCTGATTATTAATCGAAAAAAA